TTTCTCTCATAGAGCAGCTGGGGGATTAGAACTGAGTGTCGTTGGGATGGCCATGCAGCTGCTGACTACTACTCCACTAGAGCTGTGAAGGCTTTGAAAACTGAAACAAGGTCCATTCCTCACACTACACTTAAACACTAATTTGAATCAAACGAATGGAGAGAGAAGCTGTGGTATATTCACACAATGGAATACTATGCTGCACTGAAAAACAAGGAACTCATGCAATATTATTCAAAATGGGTGACCCTGGAGGACATTCTGCTGAGTGAAATATCTCAGTCACAAAAGGACAAATTCTGCATAGTGCCACTGTTGTAGAAGAGGACTGACATCAGGGTTGGGATGAGGCTGAGAAAAATTGGATAAATTATGTATACTGCATTGAAGCAGATGAGGGAGAGAACAGTTTAAAAGCGATATGTGATTGGATATTGTGGTTATAACAAGAGTCCAGAATGAAGGATGCATAGTGGAGTGTACCAGGGGGTGCAGGGGGAATTGTATACCAATGAAGGAATTTTTTTCTTTCACTTTTCAAAGGGAAGAGCGAACTGGGGCAGGGGCGTGGGCAGGGAGAAAAATGCAACAAGGAATGAATGGAAATCCAAAATCTCTATAAACTTCCACTAACATTAATAAAATAAAATTTTAAAAAACTAATTTGAGTGTAACTCAAGATGGATCAAGGACTTAGATGTAAAACTATAAAGATCATTAAGGAAAAAAATTGGGGTGAACCCCAGGAACTCTGATTTACTGCATCAATAGACTATCGAATATAACTGAAAAATGCAGCACACTCTGCCAGCAGCTAGTAGTGGAGGGTGAGTCTGTAAACGTGGAGTCAGGTCCAAACTCCCACCAGATACAAAATTCAGTGAGCCTCCCCTCAGTCAATGCCGAGGTGGCACCAGGGCGATGCTTCTGTGGACCATTCACTTAGTGGTTGGAGACAGGGCTTTACTCCCCTGATATGGAGAGCATGAGGGACATGTCCCCTTCCTTGTCATCGGTCAGCTGCCCGTGTAGAGACCCTGTTCCAATGCTGGGTTCCTGTGCTGATCCATAGGGTACCGGCAAAAGTTCAGAGTGACTTGTTCAGGTTGGGTCAATTCACAATTCTCAGCTTTGTCTGTCTCTTTAGTTGATGTTTTCATTCCCTTTCTTCCCTCAGTTTGTGTTTTAATTGTTATTATGTGCTGTCAAGTTGCTATCCATCTCATCCAGGGTCTTCCTCTTTTCACTGTGTCCCACACCCTTCCAAGCATGATGTCCTTCTCAGAGAACTGGTCCCTCCTGGCAACATGACCAAAGTATGTGAGATGGGGTTTCAAAAAGCCTTGCCTCCAAGGAGCAACCCAATTTCACCCTCTCCAGGCCAGATTTGTTACTTCTTTATAATTTCCTTTGAAAACTCAGGGTTCCTGGATTATCAACTCTAACTGTTTTCTTTGTTTTCTGGTATCTTAATTAGACAGAGTCTGGGCTGCTTTCAGCCAGGTCCAGTATTCTCATCTTATTGTTTCTTCTAGATGATTATATCGCAATATACCCTGTACCACTGAACTCCTAGGAAATTCACTAAGGTTGAGGGTGCCTGATTCCTTTTCCACCTTCCAGCACACAAATGCCTTATCAACAAGAGGTAGATAAGTCACTGATATGTCTTCCTTAGTAGAGTCCAATCAGTATAATGCCATCAATTAATGAATGTGTGTGACCTCTTGCGGAAGAGAAAGGAAATGAAGATCCTTGCAGACTAAAGATGCCACTGTACTCCGGGGTTTATTGACCCGTGAGGTAGGACAGTGGAGGTGGATTACCAGCATTGCCAGCTGAAGGTAAACGACTTCTGATCGTTCTTCAAAACTACCATGGAGCAAAAGTCATTGGCCAGACCAGTAGGTGACATACCTGACCAGGAGAGGTACTAATTTGCTCAAACAACTAAGTCTCATCTACAATAGCTGCTGAAATTGTAGTCTGGTTACATTTAGCATAATTGACTATCAAGCTTCAAGATCTATCCATTTTTGCACATCCAAATGGACGGCATAAAGGAGCGTGTGGTGGGGATCATCACCCCTGCATCCTTCAAGTCTTTGAATGTCACACTCCTTTCTGCCATAACTCCAGGAAGGTGGAGTGGCTTTGGGTTTGTCATTTTCCTCCACAGGGGATGTTCTAATGGTTTCTGCTTGAGTTTTCCTTCAACGCTGGTCCTTACATGTTGGGGACCCGGTGTGGGGGTCCTGCCAGCTGTTGAGCCTGTTGCCGTCGTGCATTCTGGACCTGGGCAGATTCCCACAGGATGGGTTCAGGCACCCTCTGAAACTAGGGAAATGGGCCTGACCAATGATTCCATGAATAACGTGACCTCCATATACAACCAGAGCAAAGACTCCACATATAACCTGACCCCAGGGCAAATTCATTTTGCATCCATCATTCCACACATATTACATTTTGTGACATTGATTACAGTCCTCACACTGTCATGGGCATGAATCTCCCCACTTCCTACTTGGCTTTTCAGTTTTCATTTATCCCTCTTTCTCTCCTGCCTTCTGAACTTCATCTCTGGACAGATGCTGCTCTTTTGATCTTGTAGGACTTATTCCTTTAAGGGACAAGTTCCTTCCTGATATTATTGATCATTTTCTAGAGTGGTGGCCTAGGGAGAAGAAACTGCAAAGATGAGATAAATAATGTAGACTGCATTGAAACAGATGAGGGAGAGAACTGTTTAAAAGGGAAATATGATTAGGTATTATTGTCATGACAAGAGTCTAGAACGAAGGCTGAACAGTGGAGTCGACTTGCGGGGAGGGATTGTATAACAATGAAAGAATTTTTCTTTTACTTTTCAAAGAGAAGAGTGAACTAGGGGGGAGGGGTGGGCAGGGTGAAAAGTAGAACAATGAATGAATGAATGGAAATCCAAAGTCTCTGTAAACTTTCATTAAAATTAATAATTTAAAAAATTTTCTTTTTGGCGAGCTCTGGTGGCCTAGTGGCAAGAAGCTGCACTGCAATCTCAGAGGTGCACGGTTCAAATCCACCAGATGCTGTGCTGGAGAAGGAGGAACAATTTCCTCCTGTACCAGTCAGATCTAATTTGACGGTACACACAAAAAATAATGAAATAAAATAAAAAATTTTTTTAAAAAAATTTGCTTTTCCCCTGTCGCCCCCGAGTTGTGCAGAGGCGGAGGCCCAGGTGCTTTCAAGATTCCGCTCCACCTGTAACCCACCTCCATGGCCGAGGAAGGCATTGCTGCTGGAGGTGTAATGGACGTTAATACCGCTTTACAAGAGGTGCTAAAGACCACCCTCATCCACGATGGCCTAGCACGTGGAATCTGCAAAGCTGCCAAAGCCTTAGACAAGCGCCAAGCCCATCTTTGTGGGCTTGCATCCAACAGTAATGAGCCCATGTATGTTAAGTTAGTAGAGGCCCTTTGTGCTTAACACCATGTCAACCTGATAAAGGTTGATGATAATAAGAAACTGGGGGAGTGGGTAGGCCTCTGCAAAATTGACCGAGAAGGAAAGCCCCACAAAATAGTTGCCTGCAGTTGTGTAGTCGTTAAGGACTATGGCAAAGAAACCCAGGCCAAGGATGTCATTGAAGAGTATTTCAAATGCAAGAAATGAAACCAATAAAGAACTTGGCATATTGCTTTTCTGTTATTTTTTGAGGGGAGTGAGGAACAATAAAATGGAGATTTTATAACAGAAAAAAATTAATAATAAAAAAATTTAAATTTTTTTTTAAAAAGGAAGCTGTACTGAAATCCCAAAGGCACCCAATTTGAATCTCCTTGGGAGAAAGACGGGCAATCTCCTTCTGTCTGATTTGCTGTGTCTGAAAACCTGCTGGAGGGTCAGCGATGGGTCGGTTCTGACTCGAGAACACCAACAAGAATGTTGTTTGGCTGAATGTTGCGTCACGTGGATGATTGTAGTTTCCAATTGGAAGAGTGGCCAAGAGTCATGGTCTTGGGGCGGTTGCACAAATAAGCCTTGTCTTTTTTTATGATTTTGAGTTTTAATGAACATTCCCTCCCCGCCCCCCGACTCTATCAGAGTCATTCTATTGTGATTTCTTTCACAGGGATCAGGAGGTAGCCCTCTAATCCTTCTGACCTTGGATCATGAAGAATGACATTGACAAATTAGTTTTTTGAACTCATAGTCTTGGTCTTTCTTCGTCCATCTTTGCTTTAATAGGAAGAGGTCAATGATCGCACCTTAGATGACTGTTCATGTGATTTTTTAAAATAAAATTTTTATTTTATACTTATTTACTTACAAAGTTCCTATACATTGTTTGTCACACTGGAGCTTTCCCATTTCCTTTACCCACCCTGCCCTCTACCCATCAAGGTATGTGACCCTATGATCACCCCCTGCCCATCCTCACCCCTCTGCTCCTCCCCTCCCCTCCTCCTTGTATCCTCATGCACGTTTTACTAATTATCTTTCTATTTCTACAATAATGGTCTTATACAGTGTTTATCCTTATGGGACTGAGTTAGTTCACTTAGCATAGTGCTCTCCAGACCCTCCCAAGTGAGGAAGTAGTTTTCAAAATCATGTGATTTTAAGGCCCAAGTTGCTTGTGATGTTTTAAGATATATCTATTACTTTCATAACCTTAAAAAAAGAGATACTCAAACAGAACATGCAATGTGAGCTTGCTCATATAAGCAAACAAAAGCTGAGCTCGTGACCACTAGAACAAACAATATCACTCTCAATAGTATTTTATCATCTCTAAGTGGTAGAATAATAATGGGGCAATGTTTTTGGGGTTTGTTTTCCTTTTAAAAACCGGGTAATGAACATATAGCAACTTTACAAAGGACAGCTTTACAAAGGACAACTTTACAAAGGACACCTTCTACAACTCTTTGTTTAAATAAGAATGGTTCCAGAGTGCAGAATGTTCTCTCCGTGTAACCTGTTGTCACATAGTGTCCCTGTTTTCCCAGGATGGATGACATTCAGCTCTGCAAAGACATCATGGACCTGAAACAGGAGCTGCAGAACTTGGTGGCCATCCCAGGTAACCTTTCAAGACTTCACCTTGTACTAAGCAGCTGCACAGAGCCCCACCCTGACCTATTTGCCCCCCTTGGGTCTGGAAGACAGACATCATCTCCTGTCCTTGGGGATCTCATCCTTGCAACACCCCCATCCTTGCATGGTTCAAATGCAACCATTAATCAGACAGACCTGGGCTTGAGTCTTGGTTCTGCCACTTTCTGGCTGTGGGATGTTGGGCAAGTCACTTCAATCTCTGTGAGTCTCAATTTCACATCTTAAGAAAGTGAATGTGTAATAAACCATTCTTACTTAAACATAACTTAATTAGATGTAAGTCTCACTATAATAAATGATGCAAATCAAATACTTAATCCGAGTCTGGTCCAAAATATATTAGTTCAAAAAATATTAGTTATGACTTATTAGTTCACCTTAGCTTATTTAATTATATGAAAATTTACAAAGCAAATTAAGTTTTCCATTCAATCATCCGTACACATTTTGCTTTATTTCTTTTTTTAAAAAAATTTATTTTATTATTTTAGTGTGCGTACCGTCAAATCGAATCTTACTGGTACAGGAGGAGATTTTCTCTCCTTCTCCAGCAGAGCGTCTGGTGGATTTGAACCGTACATCTCTGGGATTGTAGTGCAGCTTCCTGCCACTAGGTCACCAGAGCTTCCTACACATTTTGTTTTATAACATTAATAACAATCTCTACATAATCACATCCTTCACACTTCCTGCCTGTGATTCTCATTTCCACTAATCCTTCAAGCCTACCCTACCCTTCCTTCCAGGTTTTATCCCTGGATAGGTGCTATTCTTTTGACCTTTAATGGTTGGTTATTTGAAGGAGTGAGTGCCTCCCTAGCGTTTCTGGTACCTCTTTATACCTATCTATTTTTTTGGCTGAAGGTTGAGCCAAGAGGCTGAATTTTGTTCCAGGTTCAAAGACTCGGGGGTTCTGCCAGTCTCTGTTGGAGCAGTAAGCCTGACTCGTTTTGGCTTTGAGTGTTGTCCCATGTTTCCCACACTCTATCCAGGCCCTTCTACCATGATCCCCTTTAGAGTGGTCAGCGTTGATGACCTGGCACCATTTCATTCTGGTCTTGGGGTCCTGCAGTTGAGGGTTGGTGCATTAATCCTATGGACTGATGGTTTCAGTATATCTTTGCTTTTCATCTTTCACCTGTTCTGAGAATGAGAGGCTAATCAAGAGTTGCATCTTTGCTGGTGGCTCAAAAGATGTTGAGATCTGTAAGTAGATTTGAACCACCAATCTTATGGCCAACAGCTGAGTGCATTAACCGCTTTCGCAGCCGGGGCCTCCTTTATGTAAGACACTCAGATGTTGAAGTTCTACAACAGCCTTGCATTTCCTTCCATCTTATCCCTCTCTCCTGCTGTCGTCTCCTAGCTCCTTGTTCTGTCCCTTGGACAAATTCTAGGTTTGGAGCTAACTTTAGGGGGTCAGGAAATGAAGTATTTGGCAGCACATCAACAACAACATTAAGAAGAACGTGAAACAGCTAGGAAAATTATGTTTCTCCAGCCTGTTCACCACATGGAGAAGCAGGCTGGGGGGGGGGTGACTGTCATTAACAAGAACACCTGGGCCACTTCCTGCCATGAGGGCTTCTCAAGGACAAGTGTCAGTGCTTCACCCCAGTTCACTGTGGTCACCACCACCTCAAAGCAGGGGAGGACACCTTGGGCAATTTCCCAGGGACAGGAGATTAGGATCTCCCTCCTAGAGCTGTTGGGCTCTCATGGCAGGAAGTGGCCCAGGTGTTCTTGCTAAGACTGTCACCCCCAGCCTGCTTCTCCATGTGGTGACTGGGCTGGAGACACATGGAGTTCTTAGCTGTTCCTCATTCCTTTTTTTACTTAATGCACTGGGAAAGCCTGCAGTCAGGGGCCTCTCCAAATTATTGAGGAGCAGTAAAGACAGCTTGAGGACTGAAGTGTGTCTGGTTCAGGCCGTAGTCTTCAGTCACTCACTCGCTATGCATCTGAGAGCTGGACAACGACTAAGGATGACAGAGAATTGATGCCTTTTAATTGTGGTGCTGAAAAGAAGTGCTGAATATGCCATGGACTACCAAACAAAATCAAACAAGTATGTCTTGGAGAAGGCGCAGCCAGAGTGCTCCTTGGAGGGAAAGCGTATGATGCTCCTGTTAAGTTAGCAGACTTAAGGAAGAAATCAGAACGAGAGAAAGCTTAATGCAGCTTTATTAAAGGGGGAGGGAATAAGGGGCGCTCCCGGGTGAAGTTCCTCATTCTGGGGGTGCAGCATGGGGAAGGCACGCTGTGAACTTACTCGGGAGGGTTTTTATAACAGAGTCTTTAGAGAGGGACATTCCAGTCTGATTCATGATCCACCTGCTAGCCCAGCCAGGCAGGCAAGGCCGTTTGCTCTTATCAGCAGCAGGCAAGGCCATCAGCTTTTGAATTCTGAATACTTCATTCTTCTCTTTGTCCCTCTTTGTCCAGACTTAACAGCTCCATCTCACATCCTTTGGGCATGTTGCTAGGAGAGGCTATTCCTTGAAGAGTGACATCATGCTTGGGAAGGTGAAGGGATTGCGAAGTAGAGGAAGACTCAACCCGGTAGATATACATGGTGACTGTAGCAATGGGCTTGAGGGTCGTCAGAGATTGTGAGGATGGCACAGGATAGGACAGGGTTCAGATCTATTGTTCATAGGGTCACTTAACTTGATGGCACCTAACAAAAATCCCCTCCCGTGTGATGAGCTGCCTCTGAAAACCCGCTGCAGGGTCAGCCATGGGTGGGTTTCAGTTCAACAGTACAGGACAACAGAGCCCTTTGACAACAGGCCTTCATACTACCATCTAGTGGGCGGAGGTCCAGGAGGCCTCTGAACACCTCACAAAGCACATGAAAGCGTTCACCACAAAACCTTATCTAACTCTCACGCTTAAAAAACTCACTGATACTGAGATGGTATCAACTCATAGCTGACCCTGCATTGGGTTTCCCGGCCTGTAAATCACACGGGAAGAGATTGTTCATCTTTCTCCCACAGCTAGTTCTAAGTGGTGTGAACAGTGACGCACCCATCTGTTTACCAAAAGGTTGGTGATTCATTCAAAGGCACCTTAGGAAACAGGCCTGGTATCTGTGTCTGAAAGTTCACGACCCTAGTGAGCAGCTGTCCAGTGCACACAAAGGTGGACTCAACAGCACTAACAACAATTTAGATTGTAAAATCAGAGTATAGGGCCAGGGAGAGATACCCCCTTTTCTTACACACTTCAGAGTTCCTCATATTAAGGGGTCCTTGGACCACCAAGAATCTGAGATCACTAAGGTAGGAAAAGAGATCCTGGCTGGCACACACAGGCAAGCACTAGACAGAAGGGTAAGCGGTTCAAATCCACCCAGGGGTGCCTCTGCAGAGAGGCCTAGAAATCTTCTCAATGATCACAGCCTTGAAAACTCAGCAGAGCAGTTCTCCTCTAACACGTGGAGTCACTATGAGTTGTAGTCATGTGTATGCAACTAGTAGCAAAGCCAAATGTCGCTAGGAGTCCCTTGGTGCTTGTGGCTAACATACTCCACTACCAGCCATAAGGTTGGAGATTCAAGATGACCGGGAGGCACTCAGGAGAAAGGCCTGACAAGTCTGCTTCCAAAATACTTAGCCATTGAAAAGCCTGTGTGGAGCACACAGTTCTCCTCTGATGTCCCCAGAGTCTCTCTCCGAGTGTCAGAGCCCAGGGAGAAATTACAAGGTAAGCTCATGGTAAGACAAACATAGCCTCCACAATTCAGGAGGCACTTAACTCGACACTCAAATGCTACGCGATTTGCTTTTCATCGATGAGATAAATGCTTCTTTCTATTTTAGTATTTATTTAGTAAATATTTGACATGGGGGCTCTTGTCAGCGTGGTACAGCAGCAGCCTGGGCGGCCACCCTTCTCTCCCCATGAGAGAAAAGCTATCAGGGGCAAGAAGCCCAAGGCTAACTCTTATGACGTAAAGATCGGACACACTCCCCTCATCAACCTTTTGTTAAAAAAAAAAAAATAGTGGCTTTCATATAATAATTCCTTTACATTATGTTTCATTCATATACATTGTGTTTTATACAGTCTTTCATTTACATTGTATTTCATACAATCATTCATATACATTCTATTTTATATTTGTTCTTAATTGGTTTGCTCACAAAGTTTATATGCATTGTATCTCACACTCTTCTTCATTCACATTGTGTTTCATACAATCATTCTGAAGCACTGTGTTTTATGAAATTAATGACCATTGAACTTTGCCCATCATGACCCTGTCTTTTGGCCCTGATCCTTCCCATTTGCTTCCCCCTCTCCTTCCACCCATCAAACTGTGCAGCTCTGTGGTTTCACCCCTACCTATCCTGACCCCTCTACTCCCCACTTCCTTCCCCTTGAGTTCCTGTATGTGTTTTACTAGCCGTTCCTCCCGCCACTTTCACTATTGGGTTCGAGAATTCATTGAAATATTATTGTTTGTTTTTAAGTGCCAGTTATGACTCATAGCAACTCTATGAGCAACAAATCAAAAACTTACAGATAATACTGTGTTGGGACTTCCTAGGGAATCAACAGGTTACAATTTGGGGCAAGGACAACCCAGGATATGAGGTCCACTTCTTGGTTATGCCTACAGGAGGACTTATCTCTGGCCTCTTGGCCCCTCCACCCAGAGTGTGCTCTGCTCAGACAGGCGATACAGAGCTCTTTGTTGCTGTTGTTATGTGCTGTCGAGTCAGCTGTGACTTACCGATCCTATGGCCAATAGCTCTGAACTCTGCTCCATTCTTAGCCAATCTCACTGTGTCTGACACATCCATCCTCATTCCTCCAGTTATGGTTTCAGTCCATCTCATCCAGAGTCCCTCAACCCTTCCAAGCATGATATGCTACTCCAAAGACTGGCCCGTCCTGGCTACATGCTCAACATATGTGAGATGGAGTCTCAAAATCCTTGCCTCCAAGGAGCAGCTTGGCTTCACCCTCTCCAAAACAGACCTGTTTGTTCTCTTGGCAGTCTGTGGCATATTCAATACTCTTCTCCAACACCACAACTCAAAGGCATAAATTCTTCTTCTGTCATCCCAGGATATCATCCAGCTCTCTGACGCATAGAAAACAATTGCAAAGACCATGGCCTGCATCAGGTGCACCTTAATCTCTAGACTGACATCCTTGCTCTTCAGCACCCTGGAGAGATTCCCTGACAGCAGATTTTGCCACTGCAATTTGCCTTTAGCTCCCCCAGTAAGTGCCTGGGAGAATCCCACTTACTTCAGCCTAAAGGTCCTCAGTTTTCTCACTCCATGACTCCTCAGCCATGCTATTCCCCCATGCTCCTCAGGCAAGAGCAGTTAATGAGTTCAAATAGTCAACCTTTAGGGAGGCAGCTCAATGCTGAACCACAGTGCCACCATGGCTCCTTGACACAGGTCTAGGGGTTGGTGTTTACAACACATATCTTGGAGAGACACATTTCAATCCAGAGCAGCCAGTGACTTGGAGCCTTCGGTAAGGAACTGGTTTTTAAACTGGCTCAGGTCATTTCTTGGTTTAGGCCCCTTCATGTGGTCAGTGCGGCAGGAACAGAATGCTACAGCCAAGCTGGGGGAGGCTGGGGAATTGCGATTGTTGCTAAGAACTAGAAAACATGGTTCATGGATACCTGAGTGACAGGTGCGGCAAGTTGCTGGTGGATGCTGCATGTCAGTGGGTGATGATAGCAATCACCTGGGTACAGATGACAGTGACACCTGTAACTATTGGAACGCTGGCACGGATTACTTGGAGATTATTTGGAAATTCCCCCATGATTCTTTGCTGAGACCTCTTGGTTAACAAGAGAAACAGATGCTTTCTCTTAACCCAATATTAAGTTCTCTTTGCCTCTGTTTCCAAATCAGGAGATTTTTAACACAGTGTAGGCAAGCAGAATGGACAAGCTGCTCATGTCCTAGTACCATCTGAAGGGTCAAGCAGAGGGGGACACAGTGGTTTTAGACCCCAGCCCTCCTCATTCTCTTGATCTACATCTTCAGTCCAACTCAACGGCAGATGCCAACAACACAATATAATCACACTTTCCCCACTTCCTCTCTATAATTCTCATTCCCATCAATCTTTCTATCCTACCCCTTTCTGCCTTTTTTACTTCATGTGATATTCTAGCAAGTAAGTACCTCCCTGCTGCTATTAGTCACTTTGCAGACTTGTCTATTGTTTGAATGGCCTGGATCAGGTACACTTTAGTGAATGACCATGGCCTGGATCAGGCACACCTTAGTCTCTAGACTGACACCATTACTCTCTAGCACTCCTAGACCTTGATGTTATTTGTGACTGGACTAATGTCATTAGCATTGATGATTTTCTTCTGAGAATATGACTTACTTTTACCAAGGAGTAATTCCCTCGTGAATCCCTGGTTGGGTCCCCCCATCCCTGCCTTCAGCAGTGCCTTCTTGCTCTCTTATTACATTTACTAGGGGCTTGCATGGTGAAATTTCAGAGTAAACCATTCACTACTAACACTATGTACTTCCTCCCCCCACCCCAGCCTTCCCCTCCACCCCACCCACCCCACTTTCTTCATAGCAGCAGTAAGATCTTTAAAACCTCAGTGTATTCATTCAACGGAAAAGTCAGTGCAGCCAGTGTTAGTGATGGAGACACAGCATGACATGGGAAGCCTATCATTAAGTCGAAACACGAAGCCAGGATGCAGAATTGTGTAACCTACATCCTGATTGCTGGATGTCTAGAAATGATACTGGTTATGCACAGGAGATGGAGGGAAGGGTCCTTCCAGGGCTCAGCTTCTGTGTGCTGGTGTGACTGCAGCATGCATGCGATTTACAGATGAGGAAACTGAAGTTTCCAGAGCTAGCGCTGCTCGTACCAAGCGCACGTGCGCGCGCGCGCACACACACATACCCCCACAGCCCGAGTAAATGGCAGAACTGAGCTTTAGTCACTTCCAAGTTACACTCACCTCGCTCCATTCCTGATGTTTTCTTCTCCCAAGAGAAAGAAAAAACCAAGCTGCAGAAGCAGAGAGAGGATGAGTTGATCCAGAAGATTCACAAACTGGTGCAGAAGAGAGATTTCCTGGTGGACGACGCTGAGGTCGAGCGGTTACGGTCAGTGAGATGAGGGACCCCTGTTCGAGCCTCCCCTTTGAGTCCCTGTCTGCTCCTGAACACTCTTCACACGGCCTTCCCCACACAGGCTCAGCCCCGCCAACACCCGCACCCCAAAGCTGAATGAACCCTACCCCACATTCCACAGAAAGTCAAAAGCAACCCCCAGAAACCTTCCAAAGGCCTGTGAGTCTTCAGTGAAGTTTCCCTGAAGAGATTTTTAAAGAGAGAGAGTTACATCACATAACATACCCCAGATCCCTTTCTACTTTTTGTAACAGGTTTTATTGTGTTTTGGGTGAAAGTTTGCACAACAAATTAGGTGGCTGTTTGACCTCTATCGTTGTTTCCGTTACATCCGTTGGATTTTCCAGGCAAGTGGACATTCTCTTTCATTGTGTTCTGGTGGCCCCATTTCTGATATTCTGGTTTCCCCTGTCCCCCTTCATTTCCCATCTTGGCTTCAGAGTGATTGTTCACTTTTCAGCCTCAGAACTTCTTACCGCTCCTCTTCACTGAGTTTTCTCTCTGGGCCTTCAAGGCTGCTTCTGGAAGCTTCTGTGGAAACCCCTGGCTTGCCTCCTCCCCAGCCATCCCTACTCCCCAGCCTTGTTTGTTCCAGTCTCCTCACTTTGGAGAAAGGCTAAGATGCCCTTTTCAAGCCCCCAGGGTCTGCTGTTTTGTCCCTGAGCAAAGGAGAGAAGTGGAGAGTCCTCCTGGCTCCCAGGGCCTCTCCTCACACAGGAGACAATGGCATCTTCCCTCTCCGAGTCCTACGAGGTTCCTCTCAGGTGCACACCTGCCTGGCCAGGCAAGGCTCGCCTCCTGACCCTTCTCCTGGAGAGCCTTAGAAGAGCCAGGGTCACTTTCCCTAGAAGCCTGTCCCTGCCATGCACCTCCTGGTTGTGGGGAACAGGTCTCTAAGGTGGCTTAAAGGCACAGTGTCAAGAGGTGTCTCCCATAGCAAGAACATGGAAACAGCCCAAATGCCCAACTGCAATCAAATAGATTGAGAAATTAGGATGCAGTCACAGGATGGAATACTACGCAGCACACAGGAACAATGAATTTGTAAATTACTACCTAACTTGGACGGGACTGAAGAGCATTATGCTGAGTGAACTAACTCAGTCCCATAAGGACAAATACTGTATAAGACCATTGTTGTAGAACATGTATGAGGATCCAAGGTGGGGAGGGGAAAACAAAGGGGTGAGGATGCGGAGGACTGGCTTAATGATAGGGTCGCACAATTTGATGGGTGGAGGGAGGGATGGGTAAAGGAAAGAGGAAAGATCTGGTGTGAGAAACAATGTTCACAAACTTTGGAAGTAGATCAGTATAAAATATAAACTTTATATAATAAAAAAGAGGTGCCTCCCAGGTCACTAAGAGCCCACAAAGAGTAGGTTCAATAAAACACCTATCACTTCCCTGGTATCTCACCTTGGCCCCAGGTCAACAGTTTACCTGTGTTGATACAACTCTGCTTCAGATCAGGTTCATCCAACACAGTAGACACATATTCACACACACATGCATCACACCATCCACAGAGCCTGCTTCAGAATCCCAAAGGCTCGCCTGATCTTTTGCCTCATCGATTCTGTCCCTGATGTTTTCCCTCCTGACTGGACTTTTGTCTTTTACAGGGAACAAGAAGAAGACAAGGAGATGGCCGACTTCCTGAGGCTCAAGTTAAAACCTCTAGACAAAGTAACGAAAGCTCCCGCCAGTGAGTGCAGAAAAGTGGACATTTTATAATTAACTTAATGGGGGGTGCTGGTGCCCTAGTGGCAAGAAGCTGCGTTGCAAAGACACTCAGTTTGAATCCACCTGCAGGAGAAGGATGGGCAGTCTCCTCCAGAGCAATTAACTGCCTCTAAAAATCTGCTATGGGTTGATTCCAACTTGATGGTACACAGCAACAACGTTAGAAATTTTAAATCAACAAGGAAGTAAGCACGAGGAGAATCAGTAGGAGCAGCAAAGAGCACAGCTGTCATCTCTAATTATCAGAATTAACAATTACCTAAGTCAATAAAGTGTATTTACAATGATTAAAGGAGTAAAAGAGAGAATCAAAACAAAAATTAAAAAGAGAAAGAGAAAATCAGAACAACAGGAAAAGTCACTAAAACAAGCTCCATGGGTCGGTTTAAAAACAGATTAAACACAGGGACACAGCTGAAGGGAAGATTCATAAACTGGAAGATAGCTTTGAGGAAATTACCAAGAATCTAGCACGGAGGTGGAGGAGGGGAGAATATAGCATAAAGGGACAAAGAAAATATGAAAAAGCGGTAATTAGACATGGAGGGTGAGTGAGAAGGTCCAACTTACATCTAACAGGCATTCCAAAAAGCAAGAGAACAGCTAATGGAGCTATTCTAAAAATAATATATAATGTTATAATAATATTTCCAGAAATTATGTATAAACATGGCCTAGAACTGAAAGTCCTGAGCCCTTAGATTAAATTGACTTGAATAAAAATTTCTAGTTATCCAGGGGAGCTCTGGTGGCCTAGTGGCAAGGAGCTGCAACTACAATCCCAGAGGCGAACAGTTTGAATCCACCAGATGCTCTGCTGGGGAAGGAGGGACAATCTCCTCCTGTACCAGTCAGATCTGATTTGACGGTACACGCACACAAAAATAATAAAATAAAAAAAATTTAAAAAATTCCAGTTATCCATTTGCGCAATGCTTCTTGAGTGTTAGCCTTATGCTTAGCTCAGTAGATGCTTCGATGAGGTGAGCTAAGATGTGGGCAAAAAGCTCTGTGACTGGAAGCCAGTGGACACAGAAGGAGGCAGCATCCATCACCAGGACCATTTAAAACACCCGTCAGCTTTTAGTGCCATTCCTCCTGGCCTGCAGAGTTGAGCTAGCCCTGGCCAGGGGTTGGGATGGGGTTGGAGTTATAGACTTTTGGGGCTGTCCCCACCTCATCCATTCCTCTCTCCTCTCCTCCCTTGTCACAGGCTCCCGCGCAGAGAAGAAAGCAGAACCCCCACCTAGCAAGCCCACAGTGACCAAGACGGGGCTGGCACTCATCAAGGATTGCTGTGGGGCTACCCAGTGCAACATCATGTAGTCCCCACCTGGGGTGCCCCCCGGGGCCACGGGAATCCCCCCTCCCACCCTCTTGTCTTCATAGCCCCCATTTCACAGGGGCCCAAGAGCTCTCCAAGTTGGAAGGGGTTGAAGGCAAGCCCATGACTGCAGCCAGGGGCCGTGGGCGCGGCGGGCAGGCCCAGCCGCCCTGTACAGAGTGTAGCAATAGGGAGTCCCTCACCGTCGCATGGCCCTCCCCAGAGCATGCTGAACCCTGGAGTCTGTCTCACCATTTATCCAACCACCAGGAAAGGTCCTCCTTCCAAAAAGTATATCCTACTTCTCTCTAGCTGTATCTACCCCACCGTGTGAATGGACTGGGAGAGGGGATTGGTCCCCAAGTGTACACAGATGTGACTTCTCAGCCACCTAGCACCATATTGGACACATCCCCCATTTGCCCTCCACTCTGCTGTCAGGTCTGCCCCAAACAGGCATAGCTCCCCCGCATCTGTCCCCTCCCCAGAGGCTATGCCCTGGAGGACTCCGCGCAGCCCACAGGCGCCATAGATGTGGCATTCTCGGGGACCCAGAGGGCCCGTCTGTGAACATTATGCTTGTGTGTGGTGTCATGACCACGTCTCCCGCTTCCTTCTAGCCTGTGTCTATGTACGGTTCCTGTCAGGAGTGTGTCCACTGCGCTCTCTTTTCCCCAGGGGTGGGGAGCACCATGAGGACGGGGAGGCCAGGCTGGGCTGGAGCAGCCCCAGTGCTCCGAAGAGAGAGTGGAGAGCTTGGAAGCTTCAACAGCCAAAAAAAGAAGAGACAGGAAGAGACCCAGAGAGGATGCTCTCCCCCCATTCACTGCAGGGCCCCGAGGGAGCACCACCAGGACCCCACCTCACCTGCCAGGCTCCCACACACGCCCTGCATCTGGAGAGAGCAGCGCCAGGCAGGAGAGGCAGCCTGGGCCAACTGTGTCCTATCGCTCGGTGGCGGACTCGAGCCAGCCTAACTGTGCCATCTGTGTAATTCAATGTGCATTTGCTACAGCCAGCCAGGCACAGCCGTGTGACGTCCATGTACTCGTGTGTGTCGTGAGCGGCCTCCGTAGTTAGCCTAACTCAAGAGTCACTGATGTGCCACCATCCATCAGTGAAAATAAAAATGGAAACCACATGCATAGTATTGAAAACATTTTTTTTCTTGATTGTAGAAGTAATCCGTGTACATAGAGACCATTGAGAAAATATCCAGTGATAGAATTCCTCCAATTAGAGCTCTCGTTTGGACACATTTCCATCTTTATTTCCGTGATCCTTTCTCCTCCCATGATTGGCCGTCTCTTGTATCATTTGTAATCATTCCTCGCCCCCATCATTCTCCCGCATCACCAAAAATTCTTTGTAAACATTAAACACTCTTCATAAATATTTTCGGTGGCTTCTTACTAATGCATCTTGGGGATTTACTGTAACTTCATTAACTATTTCCTAACTGTTGGACATTTGTCTGTTTCTGGTATTCTTATAAATAATGTTGCTTTCAATATCCTGGGGAAAACATGTAGGTTTCTGGTATCTCCTTAACATAAATAGAACATTACTGGGCTACTGAAAGGTGGTGTATTGTTAGCTGCCTTTAAGTTGGATCCTAATTCATGGTGATTTCATGCCCAATGGGATCAGATCATTGTGAACCACATGATGCTCATTGGTCAATCATAGGAGGTAGACTGCCCGCCCTTTCTTCCTAGTCTTAGTCTGGAAACTGGGAACTTTCTTAGCTGTAATGAATAACACTTAAAAAGTATTAGTAAATCAAACTTTAATCTGAACATCTCTCAGCCTTAGCATTCCTCTTAGTCACTCTAAGCATGGGCTCCAGAGGGGGATGGCTTGAGGGTCCCTCTCATTGGCCGCCTTCCCCCAGCCTTTCACCATGAGCATCATCTCCCATGTGTTTCAACTACCATCCAGATTTCGGCAGCATCCACTTCTTGACATCCTTCAGGACTTATGGAGTACACTATTTTCTTCATTATCCTGGGTTAAGTATGAACAGAGGGCCCTTCTCACTAAAGCAATAAAATTCCCTGGCAGCAAAGGGTCTGCAGCTCTCCTTTTCCCTCTGAAAACATGGGTCTGGGGCCTGACTCTGGGCCAGTTAGAGAGGTCACTTGTGGGTCTAACAAGAAGAGGAGATTGAAGCTCTCATAAAAGCCCTGCTTCTAGCACATCTGTGGAGCTTCAAGGTAAAGCTTTTATTCTCGATTTTATGAAAACAAATGTTGTTGTTATGCGCCGTCGAGTCACCTGCAACTCATAGCGACCCTATGTACAATAGCCCTAAACCCTGCTCTATCCTGTGCCAATCTTATTGTCTCTGACACACCTACCCCCGCCCCCCCACAATTCCCCAGTCGCTGAGTCAATCCATCTTATCAAGGGTCTTCCTCTCCTGTGTTGTCCCTCCACCCTCCAAAGTATGACATCCTTCTCCAAGGACTGGTCTGTCCTTGTAACATGTCCACAGTATGTCAGACAAAGCTTCAGAATCCTTGCCTCCAAGGCACAGCCTGGTTTCGCCCTCTCCAGGACAAACCCATTTGTTCTCTTAGCAGTCCATTGTATATTCAACACTCTTCTCCAGCACCACAGCTCAAAGGCATCGATTCTCCATTTATCATCTCTTATCATTGTCCAGGTCTCTGATGCATAGCAAGTGAATGCAAAGACAATGCCCGGATCAGGCGCACATTGGTCTCCAGACTGACATTGTTGCTCTTCAGTACTTTGAAGAGGTCCCTGACAGCAGACTTTCCCAATGCAATTCATCTTTTGATTTCCTGGCTGCTGGTGCCAAGAGGGTTGATTGTGGAGCCAAGTAAGTTAAAGCTGTTAACAATCTCAATCTCTTAACTATCTATCATGATGCTGCCAATCAGCCTAGTAGTGAAAATCTTAGTTTTCTTGATATTGAGCTCCAATCCATTTGGGAGGCTGCAGTCCTTGACCTTTTGCAACAAGTACTTCAGGTCTTCCTCAATTTCAGCAAGCAGGGTTGTGTCATCTGTATAAGGTAGATTGTTGATGAGTCTTCCTCCAATCCTGTTGCCACATTTCTCCTCCTAGAGCCCAGCCTCCTGGATAATCTGTTCTGCATATGGATTGGAAGGGGAAAAAAACCTAAACCCCAAATAGAAAACATTAAGTTTTCACAGAAGAACAGAGCAAAGTCTTTATTCAAGAAGCCTCAGGTCTCTAGGGCTGCCTACAAGAGTCGGGAAATGCAGTCTCCAGCATACTGTCCCCACAGATACTCTCCTTTCAGAAGCGAGGTGGGAGAACCAGAAGGCCCTCTCTTGTTTTTATGTGCCATGGAGTTGACTGCAATTCACAGTGACCCTGTGACCAGCGGATCTGAATCTCACCCTATCTTGTGCCATCCTCAAGGTCTGTAATGTACTTAAGCCCTTCATTACTGTCACCTTGACAATCCATCTCATTGAGATCTTCCTCTCTTACTTTACTTACTCCACCTTCATGAGCATGATGTCCTTCTCCAAAGAATGGTCTCTCCTTAACAACATGTGCAAAGTCTATGAGACGAAGTTTCACCATCCTTGCCTCCAAGCGTGACCCTGGTCACACTTTCTTCAAGACAGACTCATTTGTGGTTTTGGCAGCCCACAGGATGTTCCGGTCTCTTCTCGAATCCCCCAACTCAAAGGCATCGGTTCTTCTTCTATCATCCTTAGTCATTGTCTAACTTGTAGATAGATAGCAAACAATCGTCTAACTTGTAGATAGATACAGGGCAAACAATAGCTTGGATCAAGCTCGTTAATGGGAATGTGTTACTGTGTGCAGCACTGTCTGCCAATTATCGCATTTGTTTTTCCACATCACTCACATGACCTGGTTGTTATCCAAGTCCCAGATGAGGAAGGAGAGGTCTTTCTGGAGGCCCCATGGCTATTAGCAACAGGCTCAAAATTTTTAACTGTCTCACTCCTGTAGTTTCCACAGTCCTTTCTCACCCAATCAGCATTTGAACAAACCTCTACCATTAAAAAAAGAGTTGTTGTTGTTGTTGTTATGTGCCATCGAGTCGTTTCCGACTCATAGCGACCCTATGCACAACAGCTCTAAACCCTGCTCTATCCTGCGCCAAC